TGTGCAGACAATAATGAGGTATCATTTCTAAACTGGGGGAGCTTGTGGGTGATACAATTAGCACAACAATAGTTATGTGGAGAAAGAGGCAGACTGTTGTGATCTTGAGAGAGATACAAATGCAAATGGGAAATGCACTCCAACCACTCTTCACATAAAGGTACTGTGGGCTATATTCTAAGACACACAAAAACACAAGCATTTAGCATAATGAAAAAAGTCTTTTTGAATCAAATTAGAAAGGGAAACTAAGGACTGATAGATGGAATGTACCAATGATAAAGGAGAAACAGGATTGTACTCCAGGGCTGTAAAATATCTTGCTGTGATGACCAAAATGGAAAATTTTAATGTGTTCTGGTGACAGAGGCAAATCTAATAGAAGACAATTGGTGATGCTTGAGCAGCAGATGAACCTAGAAGCAAAGCTTTATCTTAAGTGGAGGAAGCTGTTGTAGATAGTGTGCCCCTGTGCTAGAATCATCAGTTTTATAATATGCTCTTTTATACTGGGGATAGACATCTGCAAACTCATTCTATTGAGTGTCTTACCATTTAGGGGTTAATGACTTGAGACTGTTAGGTCAGAAGAGCAGATAAGGGCCTCTCTCCTGTCTCGAGCTGCAGCATGCTTCTAGCAAGAGCATACAGTAGTAGCTTGTTAGCAGCTGTTTCTTCTAGATCTAGAACAAAGACATAGCACTTCCAAGGTGGCACAAGAATAAAGAATACAGTTCTGATGACTTTGCTCCCACTGACTCCATTCCACACCTCCAGCAGACATCACCCTTGATCCTACACCAACTATGTGGTCAACACAGAGTTCAGCTGAAGTTCTATGTTCTGGTGATACTCCTAGCTCTGCAGTCTTGGATCCTGTAGGAGGTTTTTGTGGTTCTCATGTTTTGTTTTGGTTTTGGTTTGCCTTTCTAATATGAGTTGTTTTTATGTTAAATGACCTGTATTGAGAATTTCTGGATTAATTTCTTTTTATTAACTGTACCTTTTCTGATAAGGAACACATTGAAAGATTTGGCCCATAAGACTGGCATAAAACACAGGGCTTTACTAAGTATAATACTGTGGTTTTTTTGTAGGACTAATGTATGATAATCTGGAAGAATATTATTCTCTTTGAAGGTCTACTGGTGATTCGTGTAAAAATATGATAGGACTTGGTTTTAAAAATAGACAGGCCATAGGTAACATTTAAAGAACAGCTCAGCAATTTGTTGTATACAAATCCAGCTAACAGTGAGCTGGAACACTCCCAAAATTAATTCAGCCTGTGTTAATCAGTGTCTGGAAACGTTTGACTGTGAGTGAACAGGGAAATAATATGAAGAAAGGGACTACAGCTTAATAGTAGAGACCTTGCTTAACATGCACAAGGACTTGGATTCAATTCACATCACTATAAGATAATAAATAGTAAATATTTGGGATCAAATAATTGTTTTCAGTTTGACAAAGAAAATACCATTCATCTGCTCATTATTATGAAATGCTAATGGCTTAAGTAATCAGAATTTTTTATTAACTTGAATATTAGGAATAATTGTAGGTATTTAGATAATATTCTATTGTTGTTACGTTTTGTTTCTAATTTTATTTTTTTTTTAGATAAGGTCTCATGTGTCCCACTGGTCTCAACATGCTATGCAGCTGAATTGATCTTGAGCTACTGATCCTCCTACTTCATCTTGAGACTCTTTATTTCAAGATTTTATATTTGCCCAAGTCACCTATGCATTACCAATAATAGCTGCTTACAATATCTTCATTGAGGGAATTAATCTATATATTATATTGCCTACATTTTTATTAACAATTGTATGAAAAAGGATGATTTAAAATAGATATTTGTTCCCAAGTTGAAAGTACTTCTGCAGGAAAATCTTACTCATTGTTCAAATTCCAGTCTCTTCTATTAACTGGCCTTGTGGTGACATCTAGAGCAAGCACTCTGGGGTTATATTTATAGGAACAATCTTGCTTTCTCACAGACTGACTCAGAACTGGCCAGAAGATGCCTCTAAAAATCTAGTACACAGTCTAGTTCTTGTACATTGACTATGTACAGGAATCTCAAGCTCAAAGATTTTATAATGAATTTTTGAAATAAATATTTAGAAAAAGGTAAAATATAAAATGTGAATCAGCTACTGTTAGTTTATATATTTTGAAAAACCTTGAATTCTTTCTGCTTTTTCTCTATGAAAGAATGCAGCTTGAGGAGAAAGAGGGATAATTATGGCAAGGCATGTTATTTTTCTTCATACAAAGCTGGAGGGCAGCATATCCTTGTTAAAGAAGATAAAATATCATTTCAAGGTAGTGTTTGAGGACTTCTTAACCATGACATTTAAGTTTCATACTGCAATATTTGTGTAGGAGTTTGCAGTAATTTCTTATGGTTTAAAGTATTGTCATCTAGAGAACTGAAGGAAAACAAGCTAGCTGGCCTTCTTCCTGCTCAGATTAGATACACGTTAAAGATATGCAAGGGTAGAGTGGACTGGGTATTCTAACACGCCTACTTAGAGAAAGCAAACACAGTGTTTGATAAATGTTTCAACTTTGAAATACTAAACTGGAAATAAGATTAGCATTTAGTGGTCCAAAGAAGAGAAGAAAAGCAGGAGCTGAGTGAGCAGAGCCCTGTGCTGTTTTCTCTGTCCTGAGGGCATTTGTCAAAACAGGTGGACATGATGCTTCTAACCAGGAGAAAGGAAGATAGACACTGTGCTGACTGCACCTCTTTGCATGCAACCAGAACCCACGAGGTCTGAATCGTCAATGAAAGGTAGAAGGAGAAATATCTACCACCCAGTTTTCCAATCACAGAAACTTGAAGAAAAATTTCCTGTCTTGAAGCATGGTACGTGCTGTAGACGGAGAAGAAAGACACACTGCGGTGAATGTGTAATGGTCAGCAGGCCCTGCATGTCTGCAGGCAACATTCCCATTCATTGGGAGGTGGAAAACAGAAAACCCAAAACTGATCAATTTGCTTTGAAAAAAAATCAAGTAAAAAAAACAAAACAAAACAAATAAAAACCCAGAAATATGGAACTTCAGGCACTATGACAACAATACAGTACTGTAGTCACAGATTGTCCCACTCACAACTTTAAAAAACAAACAATAATAGCAACACCCTCACTCCTCCCCCCCATAAAACCTGGACATAATGAGAGGACAAGGAAAGAGAGAGAGAGAGAGAGAGAGAGAGAGAGAGAGAGAGAGAGAGAGAGAGAGAGAGAGATGAGAAATTCTGGAATACCTGAAAAATGGATGAGAAGAAGACAAGCTGTCTACCCACAAACATTCCAACATACCATCAAACACTACACATTTTATCACGAAAATAATAACTACGTGAGAAAAGAAAGTCATTAAATGCCTATATCAAAACAACCAAATTTTCTAGATGTTCTAGCTTGGATTAAAGGGTCCCTTCAAAGGCTCATGTGTCAAAGGCTTAGTCCTGTAGAGTGGTAGTATTGAGAGATGACAAGGCCACAGGCGTCCTTATCAATGGATGCATTCATTCACAGTGAATGGGCATGCAGAAGTAGGGCTGGTTTGGAGACAGGCCATGGAGGCTTGCCTTTGTGTGTGTGTGTGTGTGTGTGTGTGTGTGTGTGTGTGTGTGTGTGTGTGTGTGTGTGTGCATCTATTGCTCCCTCTCCCTACATTGTGGCTGCAGGAGATCAGAATGATGGCTTTTTGCCATGGTGCTGTTTTACTACATGCTAAAAACAATGAACCAGGTATCTATGGACAAGAGATCTTTTTCCTCTTAAACTGTTCACTTCTGATATTTAGTCACAGTTGAATGACACAGATATGGTAATTATCAGATGACATGCCTGCTCTATCAGCTCTTGATAGGTAAAAACAGAAAGAAACGAAAGTCCCAGGCAAGCCAGTCTTGCTTATATAATGAACTTGAAACTAGCCTGCCCTGTGTCATACCATGCTTCAAAATACAAAAATACAAATAACATTGTATGACTGAGCAGGTTGTACTTACATATTTAGGAATATGTACATATAACAATTAAAGAATAAGAGTTCGTGATGTGAGAGGGATCGAGAGAGGAGTGTATACGGGAGAGAATAGAGAGAAGAAAGGGAAAGGGCAACAATGATGCTATATTTTAATTTAAAAACTAAAACTGAAAATACTTTAAAACACAAAAATAAAATAAAAATGATGAAGTCACTTGAAACCAGTGGGAGGAAAATGTATGAAATATAATGCAGGAATCACTTGAGTTTGAACTCAGCAAGCTAGTATCTAAGGATCTTCTTCAACTTGATACAGAATATACACAAAAGCTTACAGCTCATGTATAGTGCTGAAATACTAAAGGTCCAGGATGAGAAAAATCTTTTCTCTTTACTCCTATTCAACATGATATTGGAACTTCTAGACACTTCAATGCAGTAGGGAAAAGAAATAAAATGCATGCAAAATAAAACTATCCCATTATGCAGAATATATGAGTGGCTACAAGAAAAAATCATGAAATCTAAAACATAAACAAATAAACAGAATTCTAAAGCAATGCATAAATTTTTTCAAGGTTGAATGAACTGAGATTAAAGCACAAATAACATGCTTCTGTAAGTACTAATAATGAACATGAGTTAAAATTAAAAGCAGCATCATTTGTAATTGTTTTAACAGAAAAGTAGTTATAAAAATATTTTGTAATTACTTCTCCAATTAGCTTTTTTCCTCCAAATTCTATTCCGTATACTCAACTCTACACATACTTTTGTCTCCACTAAGCATTAGAGGGCACACATCACTTAAGAAAGACGCTTTAGTCCCCATCTCCACGTGAGCATGTCTTCTGAAGTAATGTGGCTTCATGCAAGTGAATGGAGCGGTCCTATGAAGGATCACTATGAGGTCCCTACATTTTGTTTTCCTGTTTGTAAATATCTCCCTGTATTTTTAAAAATTACATTGTGTCTGTGTACAGGTGCAGTCGTTCCCAGTGCATACAAGGAGGTCAGAGCACAGCATGCAGGAACCGCTATCTGGGTTCTGGGGATGGAATTCAGATTGTCAGGTATGGCCCCCTTGCTCTTGAGTCATCCCCAGACAGTTTTTGAAAATTCTTGCTGTATTTTAAGTAATGAATGGCTTTTTGTCATGTGAGTTAAACATATTGAGGGGTGAAGGAACCAAGATTAAAATCAGACATAGTGTGCTGCTGTGAAATGACCTTTAAAAATGAAAATTTAAATATGGGAGTTTATTTCCGTTATACTCACAATATTTACAATGTTTCAATTTTTTAAAATATGGTTGACACAGTGGTCTGTGATTTAGTTTTTGGCTTCAGTCCCTGGATTCCCCAATACAGTAGTTTAATATTTTCCGAACCATTACACTAAATATGCTATGTAGAGGCCAGACAGTTTTATTGTAAAGGTTCTACTCAGAGATGTAGTAGCATCTGAACTCAACCCACTTATACAAATGTCACTGCTTGTCCACTGGCTGTGACAACAAAGGCATATTTAGGCTTTGTAAATACCCTCTGGGTCATAAAATAATCCTTTGTGATTCAAAAACACTGTGTTATTTATTCATAAATTTCTCATTTAGACCATGTTATCTTCTATTTCTAATCTAAGTTTGAAATAGACATCATGCTTCTTTATTATCCAGCCACCTTAAAAATAGTGTGATCTTACAGAAAAAAATGAGCAAATACCATGGAAGTTACCCATGCTCTCACTTCGCATCCTTTTGGCACACATATATTAGGGTCATGCATGTTATATATTCAATAGATCCATATTTGTTGATACAGTCATTGTTATAGAAATCCTCCTGCCTCAGTGCCAGTGAGCTTGAATTACAAGTGTGAGCCGGCACTCTCAGTTTCTATGTGTCTTATTTCTGTATCTTCTTTTATACAGTGCCTATTTGGGTCGTTTTTCAGTTGGGTTATTTTCTTCTGATGAATTATAAGAGTTCTTTGTGACTTTTAAATTCAAGTGCTTTATTGTATCTTTAAAATACTTATTTTAATATTTTTATTTATGTATGTGTGCATCATCTGGGTGTATGAATGGGTACATTGCAATGGATGTTTATAGAGACCAGATGAGGGCATCAATTGCCTTGGAGTGGGAGTCACAGGCACTCTTAAGTCGCCTGGTGAAGGTTCTGGAAACCAAACTCCAGTCCGCTGGAAGAACAGCGAGCATTCTAACTACTGAGCCATCTCACTAAGTCCCGAGTTGTATATATTTATCTCTAACATCTTTTCATTTTCCTAAGAATGACTTTCAAAGAAGAATTTTAAAATCAGACTATGTTTTCTTTCTTGGGTAATGCTGTGAGCAATATATATCAAAGTTCACAGCCAAATATAAGTCACCTTGATTTTTAACTTATTTTACCTTTTACATATTTTATAATTTTGTGTTCTTTGTCTATGTATTCTATTTATTTTGAATTAAGTTTTGTGAAAGGTACAAAGAGTGTCTAGATTTATTCATAGATGCATGTATCCATGCTTGCTTTGGCCACATTGTTGGAAATTATATTTTACCACTCGATTGCCTTACATCTTTCTCAAGGAGATACTGACTATATTTCAGTGAGAGCATTTCTGGATGCCTTATTTGATTTGATTTGACTTGTTTGTTTGTTTGTTTTCTTTTTACTGTCCTTTGCCATGCTATCTGGATACTCTTACTGTATAATGTCTTAAAGTCACCCAATGCCAACTTCCAATTATGTGCACCTTTACTATTGCTCAATAGTCTGCATCTATTATTGTCATTTTCATAAATACTTAAGAATCATCTCATCAGCATCCATAGAATAACTTGCCAGAGTTTTCTTCATGTTGACCTCAGCTCTAGGAATTAAATTGGGAAGAACTGACTGTTATAAAAATATTGTCTTCCTATCCTCAATTGTATTTCCATTTATAGAGATCTCTGATTTCATTTATTAGAGATTTATAGTTTTCATACATATCCTATACATAGTTTTTTAGTGACTTAGCTAAGAATTTGATTTAGTCATTCAAATGATGATGTTTTATAAAATTCATATTCTAATTTTTCCACTGATGGTTAAATACAAAGAATTGTTTGTTTTATATTTACATATAATTAATGTACATAGATAATTTATGTATTGAATATAATTCATGTAGCATTCATTTTACATTTGTATATATTATATATGTATATGTGTGTAGAAAGGTCTGTGTCCTGTAACTTGGCCTTGTTTAGTGCACCTGCTTGTCTGTGCCAGGAGGATTCATTTTGTCAGTTCTTTGAGATTTCTATCTAGACAATCATGTAACTGCAAATAAAAATTTAAATTTATATGCCAATTGTTTTGTCTCAGAGCTTCAATACAGTCTTGAACAGCGGTGACAAGAGGAAATGTCTATCTGCTCACTCCTAACTGTGATGGGGTGACGCCAGCTGTAGCGGTAGCAAGTTAAAGGTATTCTCTACTCACAGTTGCACAAGTGTTTTTAATTTTATTGTTACTCTAATTTCCAAATTCCTTTTACTGGTTAATTCAGATTTACATTGCTCTACTTTATCTAGCCTCTTAAGATTGAAGTTTAGATGGCAAATTTTAGATCAATCTTGTGGTGATATTGTGTTCTCCAAAATATTGTGCACCCTAATAAACTTATCTGGGGTCAGAGAACAGAACAGCCACTCAATACAGAGGCCAGAAAATGGTGGCACTCATGCCTTTAATCCTAGCATTTTAGAGGCAGAAATCCGTCGGGATCTCTGTGAGTTCAAAGCCACACTGGAAACAGCCAGGCATAGTGACTCATGCCTTTAATCCCAGGAAGTGATGGCAGAAAGGTATATAAGGCGTGAGGACCAGGAACTAGAGACTTTTTAAGCTTTTAGTCTTTTGAGCAGCAGTTCAGCTGAGACCCATTTGGATGAGGACTCAGAGGCTTCCAGTCTGAGGAAACAGGATCAGCTGAGGAATTGGCAGGTGAGGTGGCTGTGGCTTGTTCTGCTTCTCTGATCTTTTAGCATTCACCCCAATACCTGGCTTCAGGTTTGTTTTTATTAATAAGAACTTTTAAGATTTGTGCTACACAATCTACTACTACAATGTATTGTTTCTATGCCACCAACACCACCTGTTAGCCTTCCTTTTGCTGTATCTCACAGATTTTGATCCAAGTTGTATCTGTAATTTCCTTTCATTTAAAATCTCTCAGAAGTTCTCTGAAGACAGTTTTTCTTGTGTTATTTAAAAGCATGTGAGTTCAGTTGCAAAGGGAATTTCTCCATCAAATCCCTCCCCTCAGCACTCAGAGAATCCTGTGGAAAAGGAAAGCAGAAAAATGTAAGCACCAGAAGGGATGGAGGACACCAGGAGATCAAGGCCATCTGGATCAACTAAGCAAGGTTCATATGATCTCACAGAGACTGAAGCAGCAAGCACAGGGTCGACACAGTTTGGCACCATGTCCTCTGTGTGTACGTTATAATTTGATGTATCATGAATCCTAATTGATCTTAATAATAGGAGTCCAGAGTCAGATACTGGGGTAAATGCTGAAAGATCAGAGAAGTAAAAGAGTCAGCCACTAGAGAGATTTTCTACCTCTACTGAATTCTCAGATGGAAAGGGCCAAGCTCCTGTTCCACCCTGCCTTATTACTTTCTCTCTCTGCCCAGTCATATCACTTCCTGTTTCCTCCTTCCAAGTACTAGGATCAAAGGCATGAGATCCCAAGTGCTGGGAATAAAGGTGTGGGCCGCCACTGCCTGGCCCCTAGTGGCTAGCTCCACACACTGATCTCCAGATAAGCTTTATTTGTTACAGTACAAACAAAATATCATCACGCTTTCAGTTTAGTGTTTTTATGGAACTCTTGAGTAGTATGTGAATGAGTGGGTCTCCTATTCTTGTGCCTGCTCTTGAGGTCCTTTCCCTTCTTTGGGGATGCCGTGTCTAGTCTCAATGTGATGGTTTTTGCTTTGTCTTCTTATATTTTATTTTGTCATTTTTTGTTTTCTTTTAGAAAACTGTTCTTTTTTAATGAGAGACAGAAAGGGAGTAAATCTGAAGGAGAAGAGACTTATGTAGCTGGAGTTTTCCTGCCTGGCCCACAGTCAGGACAAATCTCTCTCACCTACCAGTCCCACAGCCACTCAGACCCGACCAAGTAAACACAGAGACTTATATTGGTTACAAACTGTATGGCCGTGGCAGGCTTCTTGCTAACTGTTCTTACATCTTAAATTAATCCATTTCTATAAATCTTGCCACATGGCTTGTGGCTTACCAGCATCTTCATATGCTGTTTCTCATCATGGCGGCTGGCAGTGTCTCTCTGACTCAGCCTTCCACTTCCCAGCTTTATTCTCCTCCTTGTCCCGCCTGCACTTCCTGCCTAGCCAATGGCCAATCAGTGTTTTATTTATTGACTAATCAGCAAAACATTTGCCATACAGAACATCCCACAGCAGACGTAGGGAAAAATTGAGAGGAATAGAGGGATGGGAACTGTAATCAGGATATATTGTGTGGTTTAGAATTTATTTTCAATAAAAGAAAAAATCTGAAAAAGAACAACCAAAAAAAGAAAACAAAAAAAGAGTGTGAGATAATTTCCTAGTATTTTGAGATATTTTCACAATTTATTTCCGTTCTGTTGCTGCTGTTGTTTTTTGTTGTTGTTTTTCACTGTAGTTTGAGAGCAAGTATTAAATAATATTTATCATTTTATTGTTGTTTAATTGCTCAGGATTGTCTTGGTTAATTTCACAGGCGATCATGAGAAGAACGCGTATTTTGTGATTTTGGACAAGTCTGTTAGAGATGTCAGTTAGGTTTAGCTGATTGGTGGTAAGAATCAGTTCAGTTATATTGTTGCTGACTTTCTGCCTGTCAGCTCTGTCGATGACTGTTAGAAGACTGGTAGGTCCACAAACTCTAATTGATTTCCTAAGTCTCTTTGTGCTCTGTATTTGCCTCATGAATTTTACTGCTCTGTTAGGAGGTACATGCTAGGATTGTTGCTCCTCATCTTCCTCTAA